AGCCGGGCCTCCGGCTCCTTCGGAGGCTAGGCTCTGACTGAGCTCCCAGGCAGCCTTCTTATAGTCCTAGTCCCGCCCCTTGACTTCCGGTCAGGTGAGGGGGCGGGGCTAGGCCGGGCCCAAAATGGCCTCCGGCTCAGTGGGTGGCCATTCCACCCCACTACACTGGATATTAGCCGGGATGGGCAGGGATAGTGTCCCTAGTCTCTGTTTGACAGAAGCTGGGAACGGGTGACAGGGATGGATTGCTTGATGGGTACCTGTTTTGTTCATTCCCTCTGAGGCACCTGGCATTGGCCACTGTCAGAAGATAGGAGACAGAGCTAGATGGACCTTTGGCCCACCATTATGGCTATTCTGTTCAGAAAAAACTGCTCAAGAAAACACTATAAAGTAAGATGGAAGCGATTCCCTGCATGGTGTCAATATAATCAGCTAACCCTAGCGGGTTCAGAGGTCCCTAATTTTCTGAACTAACTGCCGTCTCTGAAAATGTCATGGTTGGTTTAGCTCTGTGAGTACACGTGGCAGCTCTTAGTGCCTTTTGCCTTTCAGTGTACAACCATAAAATCTTCACTGCTCTGACTATGGTATGGTTTTCAAAGGGTCTTATTAGAACCTTTCCTCCAGTGATGAAACTTACTGATGGGACCTTAGAACTAGTCCTGTCCACACTAATGAATTCCCTCATTCAGACCATAAGCCTCCATGTTTCTTTGCTCATCTCTCATTAAAGATTTCTGGTTGCAATCAATTGAGCCAGAAGAATAGATGTGGCAGTTCCTCCCTATATGGTCATCCATAAGGATAAGATCTCTTTGAGGTTACATCCTAACTTCATTTAGAAATTTATTTTGGAATTCTGTCTCATCCAGAACATTCATTTTACTTGTTTCTGCCGGAATCCCCCTGCTATTAGAGAGGAGAGGAAACTCCACTCTTTGGAAGAAGCTTTGGCCTTTTACCTACAGAGGATGAAACCTTTCAGGAAATGTCCTTAAGTATTTGTCTTTTTGTCATAAATATGCGAGGAGAAGCAATCTCCTCACAGAGATTTTCTAAGTGGATTTTAGTCTGCATCATCCTCCTGCTAGAAACTGATAGTGACCCCTCCAGCAAAGCATGAAAACCAACTCAACCAGAGCCCAGGCTACACTGATACCTTCACTTTAAGATGTTCCTCTTCTGGAGAGCTATAGAATGGCAGCATGGGGCTGCATGCATTCTTCTACAAAGCTTTCCATCTTGGTACAAGTTTCCATAACAGACACACCCTTCTTAAGAATAGTCCTTTGTCTGTGCTACAGCTGAGCTCCTTGCAACCCATCCTTGCTGAACATTGTAAGTGTGTCTATACTACAGAGGCCATTTTTTAAAAAAAACTTCCCCTGTGTCTAGACTACTGCCACGTTCTTTCAAAAGTAAATTGAAAAAACGCAGCAGATTTTCGAAAATGGAAAACCTCATTTTACGAGGAATAATGCCTTTTATCAAAAGTGCTCTTCTGAAAAAAGGCGCTATGTAATGCAAATTGTGCTTTTTCAAAAGAGCATCCAAACTGCCTGGGTGCTCTCTTTCAAAAAAGTGGCTTGCTTTTTCAAAAGTACCGGTTGCAGTCTAGACGCTCTTTTTCGAAAGAGGCTTGCAGTCTAGACGTAGCCTGTGAGTCATCTCAAATGGAATATGCAGATGGACCCTCACTTAGGGTATGTCCACACTATAGAGGGTTTTTTGGAAAAACAGCCATTTAAAAAAAATAGTCAATTACGGCCACACTGCAATCGTGTTCTTTCGAAAGAAAATTGAAAGAACAAAGGTATTTTTCCGACATTTCTACATGGAAGAAGCCTTTTTCTGAAAGAGCTGTTTCAGAAAAAGGCATGCGTGGACGGGGTAGAGGGAGTTCTTTTGAAAAAAAGGGAAAAAAGAAAAACACAGGTGCCCTGGTGGCCATTCCACCCATTGTAATCACAGCTTACATGCTCGATAGCATCCATTCAGTGTGGATGTTAGCTATCGAAAAAGCAGATCACTTTTTCAATGTGCTTTAGCAGTATGGATGTTCTCTTTTGGAAGAAATTTTTTCAGAAGATCTCTTTCAGAAAAGCATCTTCCGAAAGAAGCCTACAGTCTAGACATAGCTTCAAAGAACAAATCCATTTACTTAGCTTGTTACTATACAAGGTATTCATAGTAGAGAAGAAAATACGGATGCAGTTAGTCCATCCCCCATTCCCTCATACCTTTGATTTGGAGCATGAGGAGAAGGGAGTAGGTTCAGACCAAAGAACACTGCTAACAAAAAAAATCTTCCAGCCTCAAGCACATGGGCTACGTCTACACTGGCCCCTTTTCCGGAAGGGGCATGTTAATTTCAGCTATCGTAATAGGGAAATCCGCGGGGGATTTAAATATCCCTCGCGGCATTTAAATAAAAATGTCCGCCGCTTTTTTCCAGCTTTTAGAAAAGCCGGAAAAGAGCGCCTACACTGGCCCCGATCCTCCGGAAAAAGCGCCCTTTTCCGGAGGATCTTATTCCTACTTTTCTAAAAGCCGGAAAAAAGCGGCGGACATTTTTATTTAAATGCCGCGGGGGAGGGGCCAGTGTAGACGCTCTTTTCCGGCTTTTCTAAAAGCCGGAAAAAAGCGGCGGACATTTTTATTTAAATGCCGCGGGGGATATTTAAATCCCCCGTGGATTTCCCTATTACGATAGCTGAAATTAACATGCCCCTTCCGGAAAAGGGGCCAGTGTAGACGAGCCCATGGAGTGAGCACATATGCCCTTCAAGAGGAATAGCTGGAACTCCAGCTATTGTACAGATTAAGTAATCAAGCTTTTCTACATATAGAAAAGAAAGATTCTCTAAGGATAACATTTTGTCGGCAAATCATTTCACAACACGATCCTGTTACTTTAAGTATTTTTTCTGTTCTACAGTACTGCATCTTGGAAGCTGTATCTGCATGGGGAATATTTCTAATACCATCTTTCATGTAGACAGTCATCTTCAGAAACAGAGCTTTTTTATTAATGGCTTTAGTGTAGTAATGTTACATTCAATTTTATAGATAGCCAAATACAAATTAAGCCCTTGACACCGGAGCTTACATAGAAGTGACTGATGATTATTTCTAGGCTGTCATGTATTGCAATGAATGTCTGCTGGTTAAATGTGGCCATACAGAATCAGATGTGATGTGTTCTGTTAAAGATGATGTAGTTCTCATGCTGTGACCTTGTCTTAAGGCATATTTTGGTACTCTTGTTTTATTCATAATTACCATTTATTCTTTTCCAACAGCAAATTCCCAAAGAAACTGCTAAATATTAAATGGAGGGGTTAAAACAACAAGAGTAAGGGGCCTGATTGAAAGCCCACTACTTCAATAGGTTCTAAATCAAGTCCTTAAAGACTTGTCTAATTTTTTAAAAATTATTTCCCTTTAACATGCTCTCTCTGAGCTCTTCTCCCTCATAATGATTTTGCAGAGAAATCTCCAACGGGAATTCACATGACTCTGGAGTTATGAATGTTGTTTCTAACCTTAATTAAGTGAATAACTTTTTAATGCTAACTCTCCTCTCTTAATGAGAAATAAATCAGGTATTTCTCTGTATTTGTTTTGCAAACTCTCTTCGCTCCCACACCCTTCTTTATGTTTTTCAGAAAAAAATGTTTTATAATTCCTCATGAGGCTTCGTGATTTACTGAAACTCATCAACTAACTTATCATCAATATTTAAAGTAAAATTTGTAAATACATTTTAAGGAAAAAATATATTGAGATGTTTTCAAATGATGGGGTGAAAAGGTTTTAAAGAACTTTTCAAAAACACAAACTGTGCTGCACCAGTGAGTAATTTCGGGGTGGATTGGGGAAATCATCCTTGAATTTCCTTCTGGCAGAAGGAGCCATTTGCTAATAATAATCCACCCTTGCAAATTGTTGGCAGCAGTAATGAGTCCACTTCTATAAATAATAATGCCCTACTCTTGTAGAGCACCATCCATCTTTAAGGACCGTATGGCAATTTAGAGATGACTACATTCAGCACTTAAAAGCAGGTACTCTAGTTATTCAAGGCCTGAAAGGGCCCCAAAGAGCTCACAGTCTAAAAAGACAGAAAGAAGGTGGGAGAAAGGGGACGGGGAAACACAACCAACATAAACAATGTGATGACAACAGATAGCATGATAGTGTCTTGCTTAGTTGGGGGAAATATATTGCAAGAAAAGTGAAAGTAGGGCATGCTAAAGGGAAGAAGGGTGAGCCTGACAGAGCAGAGGGTATGGGGAGAAGATGTGGGGTGAAGCTGAGGTGAAAAGTCTGTGAGGGTGTAGTAGAAGAGGCAATGCACAGAGGGCAGAGAAAATCTAGTCAAAATTGTTGTCTGTGAGCACTTTGGCTGTTTCTTCACCTACTTCTACCAGCTTTAGTCTATGATGATTCCACCTGGCAGTTTGTCCCTAAGATCACGAGGTGGAACGGAGTGGAATACAAACCACTGCAGAAAGACTGTGGGTAACAGGAACATTGAAGGGGCACACATCAGTTCACATTGCACATTCCCATCAGAACTGGTCCAGGAAAGGGAAGCTAATGATATAACCAATGGATCAAATTTGGTGATGAATCCAGGTCATGTGCCACCTGAGGCACGTTGCACATATGGTAAGAAGATAGAAGCATTGATTTTAAGCACTGCAGTCATTTTGATTTTGTAATGTTAGCCTGAAGTCCTAAACGCCTGTGAACCCAAGATAATTTAGTTGATAGATTCTGGAAAATCCAGCAATTACTTTATGCACATTCATTTGCTTTACATCTGCTGCTAATACAGAGACATAGTAAATTACCTTTTGAATAGCAACTCATGGGATAGCATTTTCCCATTACCAGTCATATCCTTTGGATCCATGACAGTATGTTTCAGCTCTGTATTTGTGGGTAACGATATCTGCTGGCTAACACACTATTATATACTTTCTGTACAGGTCACCGATGCAACTCAACAAGTGACCGAGTCCAGTGTGGGTGAGAGAAACACAACAGCCGGCTTTAGCACACAAGGTGATTTTACCATTGCTTTTCCTTATTTTGGAAGCTTGCAGTTGTCACTAAGGCTATGTTTATCCTATGGGTGCTACAGAGGAAGGCTACGGTGCTGCAGCTATCCCTCTGTGGTGCCATAGGCTACAGCCTAGAATGAGAGGAGTTTATTCATCCATGTAGGTAATCCATCTCCCCAATTAGCAGTAGCTAGGTTAATGGAATTCTTCCATTGGTCTAGCCATGTCTACACAGGGGTTTAGATTGGTTTAACTATGTCACTCAGGGGGTGTGAATTTTCACACCTTTGAGCACATACCCATGTCAAATTACCTTTTAAGTGTAGACCAGGCATTAGAGTGGGCTGTTTCTTCCTGGTCATTCTTTTCTACCTTGAAGAGGAGGAATTTGATCACTGCTTGAGCGTAAGAAGCAGCACTTTTGTCCCAGTCACTCACTACTTTACTTCTACAGAAACCGATGTTACTAGAATGACAACACAAGCATAGAAAAAAGCCAGTTTTCTTCTCCCAAGCTGGCTCCAAAGCTCTGTGGAGAGCTTTGCTTGGAAGCTTTCTTGAGGCAGGGAGTGAGCCGTTTAGTTGTCTTTAAAGCACCGTGCACACACATGGCACTCTAGGAATAATTTTAATACACTGCTGTGGCCACCTTTCATATGAGTCTTTCCTCTGGCTGCTCTCCAGTATGTAAGCTGTGTAATGTACATAGTCTCCAGAACACTAGGAATGTACCGAATCTCAGTTTCCTGAAGGCAGCTCTCTTGACTGTTTGCTGAGCAGCAGCAGCACTGAGTCAGCTTATTCTTTTCAGCAAGTTTATCAGGGCCACCTTTCTGTAACAGGTCTGAGTGTCATGAGTGCAAGGGCAGTAGTTTAAATTCAGCTCAAGGACCAGAATTTGTCACTAGTTGATGCCCGTTCAGGGTGTGTATGAAATGAGGTGGCGGTATTAGTCCAATCCCCAGCAGACAGGTACCCACATCACAGCCAACATTAACACTCCATAGGAATTACCTGTTGGCACTTTTACTGACAATATCAGATGACAAGCTAAAGTTTTAACAGCTCTGGGGACTGAACTAGCCTCTGTTACTATCCTCCAAAACAGGGTCAGAGTATGCTGACAATTCAGTGTTGGGAATCAGGCACTTTCCATAATGTGTCTGTTTCGTGGATAACTAGAAGACTTTAGTCTGCAGAGAGATTGGTCCCTCTCTTTGCACTAGCACTAAACGTTCTTTTCAAAAAACCTTTTTGACATCTTTGTGCAGTGAAGTGTTGACAGTTCAGGATGATCCATTTTTATTATGTAGGAGGTGCTGATTACAAAGAGCTTTCTTATATACCCATAGCAGATATTTTCTTTATCAAAACTGAATTCATTGGGTCACTAGGGTGAGCAGCTTTGTATTGAAATAATACGTAAAGACTCAGTGATTCAGTCATAAATATTTTGTAACCCTGCATATGTATTTACAATGTTTACATAATAAAAATACATAGCCTTGGGTACATAACGGTGGGTGCAAAAGTGTATGTGCATCTTTTCAAAAGGACTTCATTACATTTTTATTACATTTTTGTATTACTGATATGACAGAATTCATACAGTGAATATCAATCAGGTATTTTTATGTATAGTCTCACTTCTAAAGAGGTTCTGCCTCCAATCACAGGAATGTAGTCCCTTCCATAATGAGAGAGAAATATGGGGAGTGTAATAATATCTTTTGTTGGATCAGATTCTTCTGTTGGTGAGACACAAACAGATTCTGTTAGTGAGACTTACACAGATCTCACCTGAAGGAATTGTGGCAGCTTGAGAGCTTTTCTCTCTCACCAAGAGAAGCTGGTCCAGTAAAAAATATTACCTTCCCACCTGATTTTTGATCTGAGGAAGTGGGTCTGGCCCACGAAAGCTCATCATCTAATAAACCATCTTGTTAGTCTTTAAAGTGCTACATTTTCCTGCATTTTGCTTCAGCTACCCCAGACTAACACGGCTACATTTCTATCACTATTCTTACCCACCTTGTGTCTCTAATATCCTGGGACTAACACAGCTACAACAACACTACAACATTGTGCTTAAGTATGTTGTGCGCAAACGTGCTGTCTGCGTCTACATTAGATTCCCCTACTACCCGCTCTCACCCCCAAAATAAAACACCTAAAATTATCTTGCCACTGCTGTGAGTGCCACTGTTACTCAGTTATGTGCCTGTAGCCCTGCTCTGCACAGTGATGATGGTGACCAGCCTTTTCTACTGCTAACTGTTGATAACACCTGGGGAACTGCACCAGTGAAGTGTAGCAATTATGAGAAAGTGTAAAGAAGGCCTGTAAGTCAGGCTGACAAATGGATCCAAGCAACTCTAACCAGGATAGTGAGAGTGTGGGAGTGTCTGGAAGGTTTGGTACATGATGTTTCTGAGTATCAATAAAACCAAATCCTGGCAAAGAGGTTCGATGGAAAGGTTAGACATTACTTCCGGGCCTATGCTCTGAGGATGGGGTATTGATTTGATCCATTCACACACCTGTAGTCATGTTCTAAACATCTCATACCAGGACTAATATGATATGTTACAAAGGTTCATCGTAAATACTTGAGTAATAAGCTTCTGGAGATATTGTGGTATATTTAACAAACGTGCTGTTTAAAAGTGTCTAAGTATTTACATCACCAAATTTAAGTTTCAATGAGCCCCTTACACTTTGAGCAGTAAAGATTATGTATTTTAACATGCCTAAAGAGATATTTACATAACTGAGTAACGTGTCTTTTGATGATCTTCGGTTGCCTGGCAAATACGAGGATTTTTTCCCCACATGCCCAGAAGAAAATACTAGGTCTCATTTAGCAATTTTGAATGGGGATGGAACGGCCTTCGTAAAGTCTAGCCTTTCAGATATTTGGCATCCTATGCAGTGGTGGCGCCTTCTCCACATCCTTGGAGTTCCAGGGTTATCTGGAAATTTTGAAATTGACAGTAATTCCTGCCAGACCAGGATTGACATACTAAGAGGCTTTCGTTCAGCACCTCCACTGCTTCCTGCCAGCCAGACCCCAGGTGCACAGAGGCAATTTACCAAACATTTGTAAACCTGCTAACAGATTCTATTGGCGCATTCTGAAACACAAATATGAGAATCTGTTTACCTGATCAACATTGCTAGCAATAGCTATTACATGGAAAGGGGCAGCAATTGAGCTGATTGAAACAAAGTGATGTGTATTCTCTGTATGATTTGAGATGACACCTGATAGCGCCTCCTCAGTTCTAGTAGGCTGCTGTTGAAAAGTAACTTCTTGTATTCTGGAATTGGGCAAAAAACAATGTATATGCAAGGCTGGAGGTGTGCTTCCCCATCAAAGATATTTCCTTTGTTCTCTTTGAAAATCATTTCTGGCAACAAAGAGGAGAAAAATACACCTTTACATAAAACACAGACATGTTTTCATTGATAATATGCACTGTGACCACCTTGAAAGAAGAGAGAAAAATTTCAGCTCCTAATACAAAGGGCTTCCAAGGTGATGTAGATCTGCAGAGACTGTTGAGCTTTCATCTGTCATGTAGGGACAAGGAAATCTCTGATTCTCTCTACATTTGGTATGCTAGAGAAATGCTAGAAGGGTGGATTCTTTTTCAAAAAGCTCTTTGATGTGAATTTGAGACACACATGATGCCTAGTTGCAAGGTGCTAGATACAAAACTAGCATTGACTGTTGTAAAACTTTGATCAGTTCCTTGGTTACTGAGTGTCTGTGGAAAGCGTTATTGTCTACCACACATCATCCTTAGAGCATGAACAGAAATGTTTATCAAAGAAACCAATGAAGGCAGGACTTCACCTCAGTGTAACTGCAGAGGGAGAATATACTATGACATAAGCTTTATCAGTGAAAGAAAATAGATGGGAATAGCTCAAAGCAATTTGCATAAGAGACACTAAAAGCAGGAGGATGACGTAAATCTTTACTATCCTGGCATTTTGTCATGTAAAATAGTTAAATTATTTTAATCTATTGGTTTAAATCCATGAGTTGACCCATTAGATCAGGGGTTCCCAAACTTTTTGACACGGGGACCAGTAAATTCATTCACGAGCTTTTGGAGGACCAGTAACATTCATTTACATATTTGCATAATCATTAAGCAAATGATGAATATTCAAATAAGTTGTTTCTGGTCCTCCCAAAGCCCCCAGTGCCAGCTTTGGCAAAGCTTTTGATACAGTCACCCACAATATTCTTGCCAGCAAGTTAAGGGAATATGGATTGGATAAATGGACGGTAAGATGGATAGAAAGCTGGCTAGACCAGAGTTGCCCAAACTTTTTACTTTAGTTGGAACCCGGTTTTTTTCAGTACTGTCTTGTGCAGCCCAAAAATATAAACACACATTAAAAAAAATTAAAAATGAATAAATGTCCAGTGTTTCACCCGGCTGCATCCTCTGCCCAGCCTGGGCCAGGGCTTGGGGGACCCGGCGCCGCACGGGCACTCCTGGAGGCGGGAGCAGGAGCAGACTGGGGGGAGGGTGTCTGGCTGGGAGGGAGGGTGCAAGGGGGGCAGAGTTGCCAGGTGTCTGGTTTTGTACCGGACAGTCAGCCTTCCCTGGTCCAGCAAAATCCCTCTTCTGGGACCAGTCAGATCGGGAGGGTGCTGAACAACGGAGGTCCAACCTGTACAGCACATCTACAAGAAATGAACACTGATACCTAGCAGCTAGAAAACAGATGGCAACTGCTGCTGGTGGGGAAAAAAACACAACAGTTCATCACAGGACAAGAAACAAATCCTATCACTTCAATCAATGAAAAGGAACTTTACACACGTAACACACTAATTGAAGCGAGCTTCAGCACTAGATAAGAGTTTCTCCTCCCCTTAAAAAAAATGTTTGAGTTAAAAATAGATATTTCCGTTTCCTCAAATTATTTCCTTTTAATTCCAATGCTCTGAGAAAGTTCATCTGGTTTGTTAACTTCCTATGTTTGTGTTTGAAAAGGAGGAGTGTTAAAATCATACTTCCATCTACAACAACTTAGGAAACTGATTTTATATGCGTTGTATTATTGTTATTCATAAATGGCATCTTATTAGCATTTTTCTTCAAATTCTCCAGTTTTCTGAGGTCTGGCACAGTGGCAATTTTAATGACAAAAATCTCCTCTTCACCCCCCCCCGCCCACACACACACACCTCCTCCCAGCCCGCCCCGCTCCCCTCCCGGCAGCCACACTGAGGCCCAGTAGCAGGCCACAGCCCATTGTTTGGGAAACGCTGCATTAGATCATTCTCTCTTTAGGACAAGGTTTTTCTTGCTAACACTCAAAATGCTTGTTTTGCAGCGTCTGTTGACAGTACCTCCCTGCTGGCCTCTGAGATTGCGGATCTTCCAGATCATAGATACTCGTCAGAGGATCTTTATTCTCTGGAAGTTCAGGGGTCTCTTCATTCCACAGACTTTTCTCCGTCCAGTACAACCCACCGCGGTGCCACAAACAAAAGCTGCGCCAGTTTGGATCACAGCATTCGCTCTGGGTTTCGCAGGACTAGCTCACAATATTCTCCTGATGAGGATGGCAGTTCCCACAGCAGAGCCTCTGTGGACAGGTTTCAAGGCCAGGAATATGAGAACTATGGTCCTGTCAGAACCTCAGTCTGCTCCGCAGAGAATTTCAGCCCATCAGAAAGAGAATCCCAGAGCTCTGTGAAAGAAAACAGAGCCACGCCACCCCTGAAACAAATGAAAATATGTTGTGGGGTCTTTAACCAGCCCGCTGCCGTACACTCTCAGTCCTCGCCCTGTTCCATGCCTGCAACTACTTCATCACACTGTGGCTGCTCTGAGAGAACTGCCCAGCCGCATTGCGTTAGGAAATACAGAATTCCAAACATAGTCCGATCTACTAGTGACCCTGTAGCATGTTCATCCAGCACAGAAGGTAAGTGTGAGTCACTAAGGCAACATGGTATGGGTAAATCACACTTGACTTATCTTAGAGCTAGTATTGTTGGAAGTTACTGAAGCTTTGCGGCATGATTTATGTAGGTAGAATTTAGCTCCCATGTTTAAAGGTTATAGGCAGTACAAATGTGGGAAGAAATATACTTCTGTGAAATTAATAGTGGCTGTTTCCAGTTATATTGACCATGCTCCACTGAGTTGAAAAACGACCTCTTGGGCAGCATGTAAAGAACAGGTGCCTCTTCCAGTCTACCACCATCACACTGAACACCAAGACCAGAGAGTTGAGCGGAAGCTGGGGTACCGCTCAGGAGAGGGGACTGGCCAAGGCGACATACTTATGCTACAGCAGGCCTGGCCTCTGGTTTGTCTCCCAAAGGCATTGGCTTTGCAGGGATCAGCAATACACCAACAGTAGTTTCTCTAGAGGCAGGGGAGGGGGTCAGTTTCAAAAGGACAGTGACCCAAAGTGATGAGAATAACCAGGTGGTAAGTTGCTGACTTTCCTACAGCAGCATCTTCTGCTATAAAAACCCTCAGCTGATGGGAGGGGAAGGTGGAGGAAGAAGTCTTGCTTAGCAGCTGCCAACTCTTCATAAAGAATCAGTTTATTCCTGTTAAAGAGGAAATATTTGTTGCCGTAGAATAACTTGGCCAAATGTTAGCAGAGATGATACCTCTACAGTGATTTGAAAAGGAGTACGCATTACAAAAGGTAGTAAATATCAAAAGAGTAATGTGGAGAAACAGATTGAAAGTAAAAGGAAGAAAAGTTGTCCTACCTGCGATAGCAGTTGGACAGTGGAATAGTTTTCCAAGGGAACTGGTGGAAGAGTCATTACTTGGCTAATTTAAAACAGAAGCAGGCAAAATATAAGAATATAGTATGTAGAATAACCCTGCACCAATAGGATGAGGGGCTAGAAAATCAACTGGGACTTACACATCTTTAATTTCTGTGATTCTCTGAATTTCAGAGACACTGACAGCTAGTTCTGCAAGCTCCATGGAACATAAATTAATGCACTGGTATTTTAAATCTAGAGAACTTGCTTCAAATTGCCACCAGAAAAACGTGTATCCTTAATCTAAAAATAGTATTTGTTGGATTTCTAGCAAGCAGTAGCTGTGTGGGTTATAACTAGGGATATTTGAACTCAGTTTGTTTAATTTCCCATGCACTTAACTTCATGCATTGGAAAGTTGGACTCATACATTAATTTGTACTCCGCTTAGCAGACTCTACAAAACGTGACAGAGAAAGATTAAAGACAACACCAATATATACCTGTGTGTATGTCACATATAGGGAAATTATTTGTGTTGACCTAGCTTGTGGGAGATTCTTTCATCACCAAATTGTTTGTTCTATAACATTAAATCCCTTTGAACGAAAGGATCAGTGTAAGGATCAGTGTAAGTGAAAGTTATTTTGTAAACTTCATAAACAGTTTGAAAGGTTCGTAATTTCTCCACCTCTATGATGTGCCTCATCTCTAGTCATAACATCTGCCTGCTTTCTGCACTACTCTGGGTGAAGAGTTTGTTGAACATTATTTGGAAATTACATAAATATTACAAGAAGCTTATTTCCAATGACATGTCGCAGCTGTTTCTATCAGCCCCTTGAGCTTCATCTTTCCTAATGTACTTTCTCTTGTGACACACATCTGGAGTTGCTTATCTTTGGGTATCTCTGCCTAAGCATTTGATCTGGATACTTCAGGGGTGGGCTATGAAGCTGCAGAGTTTAACATGAAATGTTTAGATGCTGCAAATCTCAATCTGGTAATTGCTTTAGGCTGTACATTGTTCATTCGGTGGAAAAAAACCTGTGCAGCAGGGAAGGGCTGAGGAACAGTGGTAGTGGTGGAGTTTTAGTGCAGGAGAGGCAGAAGATCTGCAGCCCATTAAAGGGGGTCTATACTCCTGCACGTAATACCATACACTGAGAGTGGCCAGGTAAGGAGTGGCGACTTAGGTAGACTCAGTGCTCCTTGCAGAATGGGGGAACAGCATTCAACATAAGAATGACCATACTGGGCCAGACCAAAGGTTCATCCAGCCCAGTATCCTGTCTGCCGACAGTGGCCAAAGGGAGGGATCACAACAGGTAATCCTCACGTGATCTCTCCCATTACTCATCTCCAGAGAAACAGAGGATAGGGATACCATTCCTACCCATCCTGGCTAATAGCCATTGATGGACCTAACCTCCATAAATCTATCTAGCTCTTTTTTGAACCCTGTTAAATTTCTAGCCTTCACCGCATCCTCTGGCAAGGAGTTCCACAGGTTGACTATGCACTGAGTGAAGAAAAACTTCCTTTTGTTTGTTTTAAACCTGCTGCCTATTAATTTCATTTGGTGACTCTTAGGTCTTTTATTGCAGCATAGTTGCTGCAAAATCTGGTGCAGAACTCTACTGATGTTCCACGCCTGGGGAGAATTCTATTCCCCACCTCCCCATGCAACTCATTTATGCCAACTCCAGCTAAGTGGGCATGTTTCAGTGAGGTGGATTCAGCTCTGTGAGAAGGGCTCCAATGGCTCTGTATTTGTGGGCACTAGGAAGAAAGCCTTTTGACATTAAAGCACATATGGGTGCCTGCTTTCCACAGGGGAAAAAAGTAAGGGAAGGGAAAGGAAACACCAGCATCCTGATCATGAGCCAGACCAAACCAATCTTCTCCCGAGGAATGCAAAGATGCAGAAAATTGGCACACCACTTTCCTTTGTGCTTGTTTCTGTTTGCTTGCTGGGAGGAAAATGTGCCTGAGGGTTTACACTAATGGCCAGTCTGGCCTTGCAGAAATGGAACTTGGGATCCACAGAGTTTGAGGACAAGAGGTGGGATGCTAGAAACTAGCTGGGCTTCACCCAAAACTTGAGGCAAAGCTAGCGGTTGCCAGTAATTTACAGTTTAGATTTGTCCTTTCATTATAATTTGTTACGGTAGCATCTAGAGGCCCCAATAAGACTAGTCCCACTAGTGCTCTACAAATATATACTTAAAAGAGTACCCCTGCAAAAAGAGTCACTTAAATAAACAAAACAAAAAAGAAGTGGAGGCGGGTGGAATTATTTGCATTGTGGAGATGGGGAACTAAAGGCACAGAAAATAAAATGATTTGTCCAAACTTACACTGGTAGATTTAAAAATGAGCAATCCTGTGGCACTACTTGTTGTTTTAAAAGGTACAGACTAACATGGCTGCTACTCTGAGACTTTTGAATGTGATTGGTAGATTTGTGTCCGGGTCATCTTTTGTGGGAGAGAAAACCAGGTATGTGTCTCCTGGTGGCGTTGTAGGAGAATCTTAATTAGAACTGTTTGCACTCCGGGGCACCACCAGTTAACTTCTGGGAGGTGTCTAGCATATTCAGGCCCATTGACCAAGAGGGATAAAGAGGGGCAGTTGCCCCAGGGGCCTTTAATTCACCTTTGGATCACCATTCTGCATGCTCCTGGCAGCTCTAAGGGCTGAGGGGACAGCGTGCCATGCTCCAGGAGGTGCTGAGGACTGGCTGACTAAGCCCCTGGCCTTATTTCCAGGCTATCAGTCCTGGTATTTAGGTTTTATGAATGTAATGCTACACACTGATGTGAAGGGTCTCTGCCAGATAGGATCGTGCATGCCATAGCCATTGCACAACTAGCTTCCAGCGAGCACAATTATTATACTTGCACCGCACCAACAGTAACACAACAGTCAATACACCTAGTATAGCTGAGCAGTTTAAGGCTTTCATGCCAGTAATCCTCAGATTAATGTGGTTTAAGACTTTACATAGGTTCATTATAGTCTATTTGGTCAATAGTCCACCCAGTTACCTCTTGATGTTGGGGATCAGATTTCTTGTGTGTAGGTATGTTTAAAAGAGGGTATCTATCTGCTGGTTCAGTTCCAAGAATATCAAATACCTAAGCAAGTACTCAAGCTGAAAATGATGTATAAAGGAAGTGTACTTTTTCATTAAACTATTACCATACCAAAGTAGGACTAAAACAGTGAATTAGTGATGCTAGTAAAAACTGCATTTATGCTAGGAGAGTTTGCCAGGATAGCTGTGTACACTAGCCCAGGGCGGCCTTGGCCATTGCTGGCATTCACTATAGTTACTAGTATGGCAGATAATGTCTAGTGGTTTATTTTGCTCTTTGCCCCAGGTATATTGAGCATCACCAGCATGGTAAAGGCTGCCAAGACAAACTCCATTTAAACTCATTGAAATGTCACCTTTTATCTGAAGAGCCATAGCAGTGTATTGCAATGCCTAGGCACATGAAGGCAAGCTGAGGTCAGAAGCAGCCAGCACTGAGTTTCATGAGTTCGAGAGACTCTATGTGTTTTTAATATTGTTTTATCCTGATTTCATTATACACTCTGCCAGGGAGGATTAGAGCAGTTTTTCATTATATGCTTTGCCCTGAAGATGCAGAAGAAAAGTATCCTCTAATGTAACTAGAAGGTCAAAATAGTTTTCAGTGTTGGAAGGAGCAATAAACAGTCTTACCCAAAATGTGTGGATTTAACCCTTTTTAATCTCAGGTTTCTGAGAGTCAAAGTGGAATCATCACGTGATCATTGTGCTAGCATCTCAGGTACCTCTCATCAGAGAGCAAAACACCTCTGGAGCTATTTGCAGCTGCTTTGGCAACTGGATGACAGAGCTCAGGAAAAGGTGGCAAGATATTCTCCAGAATGTGAACATTAATGAAAATAAGTGGTGCATGCCGCTTGCTCGGCAGCAGAATGTAGCTGTAAAGGGGGCTGGAATGAGGAGACAGAATGCCTGCACCTACAGCCTAGATAGCTCTGTGGTTAATTGGGTCTCTTACAAATTACAATAGGGCCTGCTCCCAAGAGGAGCTGAGTCCTCACTGTGCTCACTGATGGCTATTGGCTTTCAAGATTAAGCCTATAATATTAAAGATCTGCACATTTTATAAATATACAGCAAAGAGGAAAATGCATCATAACCATGGAAACATTTCTTAACAAGTGATCATTTGCCCGTGTCCCTACATGTAGCTAACATTAGGAAACAGGATCATTTCAGGCTGCATTAGAAACAGGTGATGTGTCAGTTTCCTAAAATTGAATTATAGGTAGTGTTCCCTGTAAGCTGTGCACTTGGGCATCCGCCCAGGAAAGATTCACAGGCTGCCCAGCTGATTAGCATTTTTTCCCCCTATCAATAATTTTACCAACCTACAGACAAGTAATTTGGAAGCCTTTCCCCAGGACTCTGTTAGCACTACTAATACCATACATCATTTATGTTCAGTATCACATCACACCACCTTCCCTCCTAGATCCCTCATGGTTTGATGCAGAGGACCAGAGTGAGTGGCGAGGGTTCACGCTTTACTTACCTTGCAACAATGGCTCCTGTCCTGCACCTCGGATTGCACCACCTCTTAAATTTGACCCTGCTGCCCCTCCCATCACTTAGGTAGCAAGCTGCAGTCAGGGTTGCAATTCCAGGGTGCAGGGTATGTATATGTATATGAAATGGTGGATTGCAAAAAAGACTCAATGCAGTGGTAGGCTAGCTTCGTAAAATGTTTGGGAGCCACTGTAGGAGGTGCGAGTGCAAAGTTTTGCCATACGTTATCATGCAGAACCACCACATATTCTGGGAAGCAGTTTTTGGGAGAAACTCAGTGCTGACCTGAAGTGGAGTCCTGGATCTCTTTTATTTCAACATTGCTCTATTTTTCACAGTGTTTTGATGCATTGTTCACTCTGTAATAAAATGGCTGAGGCCACCAGACCAGTCTTAAACTTTCCTTGTTCTGACTATTTCTCCTGGGAACTTATACTACAGCTATGTTTGCAGCATAGGAGCAGTGGCTTGTATATCTGGAGTATTGCATCCAGTTCTGGGCCCCCCACTATAGAAAGGATGTGGACGCATTGGAGAGGGTCCAGTGGAGGGCAACCAAAATGATTAGGGCGCTGGAGCCAGGAGCGGCCTGAGGAGGTGCGACTGGCACCCCCTCCTGCACGGCCATCAATGTCCGTGACGTCATCATCGGGCGTCCGGGCCAGCAGCACCCTAGGCAACTGCCCAGTTTGCCTAGCCTCACGGGTCATCCTTGGCTGGAGCACATAACCTATGAGGAGAGGATGAGGGATTTGAGCTTATTTAGCCTACAGAAGAGAAAAGTGAGGGGAGATTTGAGAGCAGCCTTCAACTTCCTGAAGGAGGTTCCGAAGAGGGTGGAGAGAGGCTGTTCTCAGTAGTGATGGGTGGCAGAACAAGGATCAATGGTCTCAAGTTACAGTGGGAGAGGTCTAGGTTGGATAGTAGGAAAAAAATATTTCACTAAGGCTGTGTCTGCATTGGCAAGATTTTGCGCAAAAGCGGGTGCTTTTGTACAAAAACTTGCCACCTGTCTACACTGACCACGAGTTCTTGCGCAAGAACACTGACGTTCTAATGTAAGAAATCAGGGCTTCTTGTGCAAGAACTATGATGCTTCCGGTCAGGAATAAGCCCTCTTGCACAAGTGTTCTTGCACAAGAGGCCAGTGCAGCCAGGCAACATGAATTTCTTGCACAAGAAAGCCCAATAGCTAAAATGGCCGCCAGAGCTTTCTTGCGCAAGAGAGCGTCTACACTGGCACAGATGCTTTTGTGCAAAAGCACATGCCAGTGTAGATGCGCTCTAGCGCAAATACTTTAACGCAAAAACTCTTGCATTAAAAGTATTTGTGCAAAATCTTGCCAATGTAGACGTAGCCCAAGAGGGTGTGGAAGCACTGGAATGGTTTCCTAGAGAGGTGTTGGAATCTCCATCCCTAGAGGTTTTTAAGTCCCAGCTTGACAAAGCGTTGGCTGGGATGATTTAGTTGGGATTGATCCTGCTTTGGGCAGGGGGCTGGACTCGATGACCTCCTGAGGTCTCTTCCACCTCTAGGATTCTCTAATTCTAGATAACGAATGTTTGTTTCAATCCAGTCTGTAGTGGAAAAATTTCCCCTAACAAACACCATTAGCATAATCTGGCATTCGCGATATCAGTATTAGCAGAAGAGTCAATGAACCTGAAGATTTTTAACTATCCACTCTCTGATGTGGTCCCAGGGGAGGAACGTTGCCCTACTATTATGTGCTGCACCCTTTCTGTGGGAAAATAGAGGACTTTCCCAGGAATAACAGCATAAAATGTTTCACCAGCATTCAATTCCATTACTAGAAATCTTTAAAATAGCTGTTTTAAAATGTTTCCTTTGTTTTATAAGTTTGTTGCACCATGAACCTACTAGGAGTTGTAGGCTGTAGGCTGTAGACTGAATGTTATAACAATTCCCCTGTAAGGATGTTTGATTTCACACCTTTCTTTAAAGATTCATTTTCCCCCCTTTATTTTTAGTTCCCGTTTCTAGTTCTCATGTGGCTGCCTCTGCTTGCCAGGATTCTGTAAGCCGTTTGCTACCCACTGGAAAACAAAGAGAGACAAGGAAAACTGACCTACATTTAAAGCCAAAGGCCTGCAACACAATCTCCAAAGAGCGACCACACTCTTTAGTAGACATTAAGGCCTATAAAGACACAAAAATTTTGGTGGCTAAATTTTTGGAACATTCAAACTGTAATCTCCCTCCAGAAGTGCGGCACGTGGTGAACAGCATAAGATCTGTAATCAAATCTGATGAGAGACACATGGAAGAAGCCATCTTCAGTGCCAACATTATAGACCAGGTAGGACCATTATGATGTTTGTAGTAAGCAGGGAACTGTGTCTTGAGATGGCTTTAGATTAATAATTTTGTCAAGCCATGACATATTTTGAACTGAACAAGACATGATTTTAGAGATGGCCTTTAGGACTAAACTTCATAGGGCTGGAATTTATACTCATGTTGCTCTTAAAGATTTATAGGGAACTCTCACCTTAGATTTTTAAGTTTACTTTCTTCAACTGTAAGGTGAAAGAGGGAAAAGTATTTGAGGATACAAAGGTTTGGAAACTGACTTGGAGCTTTTGTTTCTTGACCTAGTGAAGCTCAGCTGCATTTTGGGGCAGATAGATTTGGATAGCAGAAGGGAGAGATGCAGTCTACCAACTGTCAAGAATGGGTAGATAGGCAAGTGTATTGGCATCTCTTCTGTAGAAGGCCGGCACTCATTCATGCTTCTTACTAGAAGATGAACATTGGCTTGGTTATGATTTAGGAAGCTGGCAAATTCTGATTCTCAAAATTAAGAACAGAGGAAGAAACCATGAAAATAAGAAGTATTGAACAATGCATTAAACTTAATATATATTTTAAAATCTAAAATGAACACTTTTGATCACTTAATTTTCTAATGCCTATTGGTTTTATTTGACTATGACCGCAGGTTTGACCTCTTATTCATTGGGTTACAAAAATAGCAGCTGTAGAAAAGGAGTTTTCTTCTCTCAATGGTTTGGGAGGCTGTCTGGGTGCATCTACACTGCATTGTAGCTAGAAATAAGATACACAATTTGAGCTATGCAAATTGCATATCTTATTTCAATCTTATTTCAAAATAGCTTATTTTGTACTTTCAGCGCCAAATTTCAAAATTAACCCACTATTCTAAAATGTCTTTTCTCCTCATGGAATGAGGTTTACAGGGGTGTCGGAATAGTGAGCCTATTATATTTTGAAACAATGGGCTTGCTGTGAAGACATGGGATAGCTATTTTGGGATACTCCAGTATCCTGAAATAGTGTTGCAGTGTAGATGTAGCTCTGAGAGACAAGCTAGCCCACTGTCGTAGGATTCTATATGCAGAACTGAGGGATATATAAATGAGAGTAACCTCATATCCTGGATATCATTGTCTATATCACATTTGCCTGCTTGTCCACTTCTTTCCTCAGCAGTAGGAAAACTTCCTGTTTTTTAATATATGATATAGTGGTTATCAAATAATATTATGAGAGAAGCTTAAGTATCACTATTGACCAAGCCCTGATCATGAGATAATTTGCACTAGCCCTTTGCTAGCTGGGAAGCAGAACAAAGTTAAATACTAACTTTAATATATCTAGATACAGCAAAGGAAAAGCAGTAATACCCTGAGAAATGTAAGAATTCCACAGTGGCCTTATGTCATTAACATTTTTATTGCTTTGCAATCATTATAGGTCAGTAACTCCCAAAGGTTAGAAAGCTGAAAACAGTCTGTTAGGGCTATAATGGAAAGCCATAACTTCTCAAAAAGAAAAATACTACAGACTGAGTGTTTTAGACAGTAAAAACGGAAACTAATCGTGCAACTTTATCAAGAGTAGACTTTTGAGCTCCTGGGAGACACATGACTGGCTCAAAGGGAGCAATCTTAGTAAAGTTATTTTTCCAATCTACAAACATTAACCGTCACTCAAAGCCCAAGCAGCTCCGTCAAGCTCCTCTTGAAGCTGAGAGCTTTTTAATAACCATTATACAATTCAGAGTTAGACATGTAAATGGAAGTGACCAGCTACTTCACAAAAGGTTTGCTCTAAGTGGTTTTGAGAGAGAACACACAGTTAATGGGTGGAAAAATCAATCTCTCTTCCCCTCCTCAAAACACATGACCTTCCCTCAAAGCAAGTGGATGGAGTTTCATTGTTTCAGACTTAAACCTGAGGCCTAAAAGGTAAAAGCTGTGTTCTAAGAAAATACTCTCCTCTCTAATTCCCCTCCTTCATGCTTCAACAGGAGTCACAATTCCATCACCTACTCAGTGATCAGTTAAGGCCAACCACAGCAGTGCTTTATCTCCCCTAACCCAACAGAAGTCTGTGTGAAGGAGATCAAAGCAGGATAAGAGCCTATGGTCACACCAGGATAGCTCCAGCTTCCTGTCTAGCAGCATCCAGGTCTGACCATTCGGAAGGCCACCAGTTACCAATTCATCCCCAGATGAGTAGATGGAAGATTTTTTTCTTTAAACCAGTATTTGTTTAAAGGATGATGGAAGTTTCTATTTTCTTTATCCTAGCAGCAGCTACTTAGTGCTAGTACTGCATGAAGCAGAAATTTCCAGTAGCAAAAGCAGAGCTCCCCCCACTTGAATTAAAGGGCACTGGCTGGTAGTCGTATCAGGATTTTGCCCTCTGTGTGCTAATCAGTAGGGTGCAATCATGAGCCCACACATTTAGCTCCTAGTTAATAACTCTCATACTAGGTAAAATTCAATACAACGGAATGAGCAGAAAATGTTACAGTAAATGACTGACCCTTTGCAGTACAACAAACCTGTCTTCTTCCTTCCTCTCGCTCTCCTCTTATCAGGTAATTACAAGTTCCCGGCAGAATGTGAACACCTCTAGAAAGCGACTTCAAGAAGATCTTCACCTTCAGAGTTGTGGTGCTCTCAGTTCTCCAGTTGCCTTCTTACGCAGGTCCCACATCTCTCGCAGGTTAGAGCGGGACAGGCCACACAGTTTGATTGGAGTTTGTCGGGAGACCATCCTTTGACAACAGCTTACAGGTGTGTTAGGAAAAGATGATTCCAGCAAAGAGAAGACTCCAGCAGAGAAATGCAAATGATGGATGGCTTAGACAGGAAAAAGGGTGTCGTCATTCTGGAATTACACTTTTTAAAGCAACACCCAGCTTTTTCTGAATGTAAATTTAAGCCCTGCAATTTTGCAAAATTTATAGGGTTATTATTAAACTTGTAAAAACGTTTTCCCAGATATACATTGATTTGAACGTATCAACGGAGATGCTGCAGCCCTGTAGCATTTCCTGAAAACTATCACCAAGAGACCTTTTGTACAACTTACAAGTTGCATTTATTTAATGTACCTCAATGAATTTTAACGATCATCAGTGTTTTAATAAAAAGTATTTCTGGACTTTGCTTCCGCAAAAACGGATTTGGATAGAAATACAAACATTCGCTCTTATTACAGGAGCATAGTTGCTTTCACTGGTCCCTTTGTTGCCATAGCTAAGTGTACGTAGGTTTCAAGATGCTAAGCTAATTGTCTTCTGCTAGAGCTGTTTTTTTTCCTCAAATGTCTCGTGCCCTTTTACATTCTAGTAAAGGCTGCACAATGGTTTATTTTTTGCTTTGTTCTGAATGCTCATGAGTTTGGTTTGGGAGATGCCATTTTAAATTGAGGTCTAAATTCACTAGAAACGATGTTCTACAATTGCACCATAGACAAAGCCATTGTGCTGCTGGAACTGCTTAAAAGCTGGCTTCCATAACCTTTCATGTACAACCACTGAGCTGAATCCAGACAGGGCTACCAAGGGGCAGGGGTAGGGAGTACAAAAGGCTCTCCCACCTTGTTTGAGAGGTCCCCCAAAATGAAGAGGGCAGCTAAGCCAAATTTGAGTGAGTGGCGTTATAGCTTGGAACACAGGGTTATGGAGCCACTCAGATTTGGTACCCAATATTGGTAGTATGGGCGGTGACTCCCCCATCATGGCTAGCCCAGATCCTACTGCTACCAGGGTTATCTGGCAGGTCTGAAACTGTGCAGATTTAGGAATAGGGTAGGAGGATATTTTCCCACCAGTGGAGGGGCCACAGCTCCCCTTACTCTGTGGGGAGAGCAGCCATGGATCCTCACCGACCATCTCTCATTCCTTCTCTTCAAACTTTCGTTTTCATGGTAAGTTTGGAGGGGGGTGAGGGGACTCAGTTTCAGATTTTGCTCTGGGCCCCAAAAACCTCTTTAAAACTCTGAATCTACATAGATTTTTAGCATCCATTTGTTAGCTTGAAGAAGAATTTTTCTACTAAAATTGTCTTCTAGTAGTTCTGCACTACAAAACCTCAACCATACCAACAGCAGACACTGCCTGCCAGGTCTTTGAGAACAAAGCAGTACAAATTACAAGTCAGCAGAGATAGGAAAGTGCATGAACAGTGTTAGGAAAAGAACAGCGCTCACATAAGGAATCCAGTCTAATGTGCAAAACTTTAACTTTTATAAACACATCTCTGGCATTTAATTGCTTGCCTGTTTCCATTTGTGTCACTCTAAACTTGGCATACAATCTGTGAAAAGGTTGCAAAGATGCGTAGCTAGAGATGGGTAGCTTTAGTTCAGAATGTATGTTTGTCAATCATCAACACCACTATGTGTTAAGTTGATGCTGCTTCAGCTACACTGGTGTGAAGCTACAGTGACATCCAGTGGCAACAAGGTAGGGTAACATAAGCATCCATTTACCATGAATTCCACAGATACACCACCTACTATAATTTGACTTCAAGGCAGCAGGCGGAGTCCAACTATTTGATTCTTTGCAACTGCACTTAGATGAAGAATTAAATGGGGATATTTCTAGTAAGATTTTTGAATTCTTTCTAACAGAATGAACAAGATAAGCAAGTTGTCTTTATTACTCCAGATTTATTAGTGATACTAGGGTTAATTCTTTCCTAAGGTCAGTTGCATGCAACATATATGTTACTCCTTAAAATACAGTAATCCTAATGCTTTAGTTACTGCATGGTAAGGCTTCTAAAGTCACAGTGTATTTGCTTCAAGGCCTTGCCCTCCTTCCTCACGCCCCACCCCCCCAAAAATCAAGACAGTTACATTAATGAACAATTTCTCATCATGAATACAACTTTACTACTACTTAGTTAATCTATACACATTCTAATACTGCTGATGGTGCTAGTTCCTCTTCTTTCACCAGAAATAAACATTCAGAACAATGCCTCAGGAACAAGAATGTTTTTATAAAAGACTAAGTATGTCTCTCAAATTTTTGAGCTAGTGTAAATCAAAAGATAATAAATATTACACAAACTGTGGAACAAATTTAAGTATCAGAGAAGTAGTTGTGTTAAACCATGAAAATTAAAAATAAATGTAAATAAATATTTTAAAATTTGTGGCATTTATTCTTTATTTAGCATAAGAAACACTTTCCTGTTCTTGTGTTATACACTTATATTCACATTTTGCATACTTACCATTATGACAAATGTAACGTAATTACACCAAGTACTACAACTGTTTTACTTTACATTAGAATCTAACAGCACACATTCCTAATCACTGAAATTTTAAAATGCCATCTGCCCTGGATCAGCTTTCAAATTATGCATTACCCTGTGGTGGACCATTACATGGGGCTTGGATTTTTTTTTTTTTTTAATGTGAGGCTGCTGTTTCATTATCTTTGCAGTAAATTTTCTGCTGACTCATTCTCACATCATCAAGTATGACAGACATATGTTGTACACCATGCCACATGAAGATTACAAATAAATATGTTAAAGTTTCAATGAGAAAAGAGTTTAGAAGATGTTGCAAAATACTATGTCTTACAAAGATTTTATATCAGTGATTATTGTCCTTGATAAAGATGGTCATCACTTTTTGGCAAGGAAGAGAAAAGGAAGAGATGCTTGGCCATTCAATTTGAAGAGTCTTCAGGTCCTATTTCAAAGCCTTTCATTTATATAAGATACAAAATTCTTTCTTCTGTTGTGTAGACTTCAGCTTTGATGGAATCATTTAGTTTGTTTGTTGAGGGAGACAGCCATATGTGCTAGATGTACAAGGGTGTCTCTTGGCCAGTTAGAAGCCTAAACATTGCAGCTGGCATGGTCTTCATATGAATCTGTCAATTGATTTATATAAAATATAGTATCAGTATCAGCTGAAACTTACTACAAGTCTGATACATATATCACAAACTGCATTGACTGACCTCAGGGGAGGGATTTCTGATTTCTACCTAGAGCTGTGAATTGAAGGAGCAGGGTTCATGGGCAGGGGTTGCTTGTTTTTAAATGCAAACGTATCAGAATAGCAAAAGCAACTGAAAACCAACTACACCAATTCCTTTCAACCACTACTGTCCAAGCTAAGGAAATTAGCCAGGAAGAAAATTTCATGTACATAAAAATTCACCCTGCATACTCACTCAAATATTGCCTGGCACTGGATTTTCCTTTCTCTGTCCATTCATTTACACACACTATATCTTAAAGTGGAATGTGAACGTTTGTACATTGTTTGAACTTCACCACCCACAATGTTAAAGTGCATTCAGATTTAGAATCCAAGTTTCCCCATTCCTACTAAATCAACAATTTGCAAGCAGTATTATTTTCAATCGTGTGTTAGCTAGGGTGACTGGGCTCTGATAGGAGTAAAGGTGTCAAATAAAGGAAGCATCTGGCATTAACACTGGAAAATACTAGGAAAAGTGGGAGGTTAGCAGAGATTTCATTAATACTGTGGAAGACATGGCATTGTATAAACAAATCATAACAAACTTGTTTGTCTCGTATTAGAAACAAACAACCTGCAGCACGGAGGGACCTGCCTCTTTGCAAGAGCCATATAATACAAACACCAAGGAACCCAGCGTGATTTTAGATTAAAGTGAAACTTTAAATTCATGATAATCTGCACTTGTCAGACTATTTTAAAAAACCAGACACTGAACAGTCAGGCCATAGACTTTTATAAATTTACAGTTACTTAGCTCAAACTTTAGCTACAGTTTTTTAAAAAAATCATAAATTACTTTGGCTATGTTTTAATTGCAATAAGCTTCCATTTTAAGATTTTTAGATACACAGATTTTTTTCCACATTAAAGCTCCACAATGAAAAATTAAATACATCCATACAATGTGTGTGCACTGCTCTGTATTAGTTATCATAATTTCACCATTAGAAGTAGGGACTGTGCCAATTCATAAGGAGTCAACTGCCACATATGACCCTCACCAACCCGTACTGAAATGCTGCTTTACTTCCTTGTGGGGAGAGTAAAGGAAGTTCTCTGTACTAGACCACCCTCACCAGAGGAAGAAAGAGGCATCGGCTACTGGCTCTGCCGGCCACAGGGCTGTGTGATGTGTGAATTCTATCCCCCCACTGGTGTAGTATTCCCTATACAAATGCAGTTAACTTAAGGGCAGGTCTATACTAGGGGTTCAAATTGATCTAAACTATGCAATTTGAGTTACATTGGTAGCGTAACTCAAATCGCCATAGCTTAGATCTACTTACCGCAGGGTCCACACTGCTCTGGGCCGACGGGAGAACCTATCCTGTTCATTCCCTTACTCATCTCTACTGGTGGGAATACTGGAGTCAGTGATTCAGTGGGTCTTCACTAGACCTGCTAAACTGACCTCCAGTGGATCAACTGCTGCAGCATTGATCCTGGCTGTAGTGAAGACAACCCCATGGCTTTGTGAAGGGAGAGTTTTGCTAATTTGCTGGAGTACCTAGTCAGGATTTCTATGGGATGAGCATAATGGTGCTACCTGACATTCAAAAGAAATGAGAAGGCAGATCACCAACACACCTCAGTTAAATGGTGAGGAACAGAGATGTGTTTACCCCATTCCATAACCAAGTCAAAGAATTTCAGCAAAAATGAATGAAAGGCTTAAAATATTAGTCTTACTCTTTCACCTCTGTCTATTTTATGATTGGTAAATCTAAAATGGAGGGGAGACATTTTTATAGCTATTGCTTGGATCGATTTCTTAACCTATCGAAGGCTGATACCGGACTGCAGCTTCATACTTCAGAATTAGTCAGGAAAATCTCTCTTAAAAACTAATGGAAAATGCAGATAATGTAGTCACAACTGCTTTACTTTTAAAAGTTGATATTGGGGGTTTAATACAGTCTCAACACCATATTGTTTTCAACAGCAGGAACCCAAGTATATAGAGAGATACTTTACTTACCTGTTGCAATACTTTAGCAAAGTATTTGAAATTCAGATGTTCCTTACCTCTCCCACTGAGTTAGACAAGGCTTGTACTATCTTCTCGTGAGCAGTGGCCACAACACTTTGCCCGTTGATCTCAATAATGCGATGCCCTACTCGGACACCTCCCCGTTCGGCTATTCCACCTCTCATCAAGCTGCAGATCTGTCAAAGTCAGAGTTTAATTGAGTTAACAGTTGTTAAGCTGTAACAGGTCACTCAGAACTGGACAGACAAACGGTTTAGTGTGGCATGAGCCAGTGCACTAGGATAGCCGCGTAGCCAGGGGTGGGTCTGGCTAGCCTCCTACGTACGTGCCTAGGAGGGTGGGCAGGAGTGCATTCCAACAGTTAACCTGAGCTGCCACTTGTATGCCCACATGGCTTTAGCATGTTAGCTCATGTCCCTCTACCTTTTCTTAAACAGGAGTTTTGTAATGACTCCAAAAGATGTGACTGCATGTATGACCTCGCTGGTCCAGCAACATCCATGGCCCAGCAAGGTGCCAAGGCTGGAAGCATGGCTGGGGCTGGGAGTCTGGCTGAGGTGGGAGCATGGCTTGGAGAGGAGCTAGAGGTTGGGGCTGGGGCCAAGAGTGCAACCAGGAGAGGAGCACAGCAGCTAGGAGGCTGGTGGCTTTCCAGGAGAGCCTGGAGGCCAGCAGCAGGGGACCAGAATTGACCTCCCCTGGTCCGGCAAACACCCTCGTGCCAGGGTTGGACTAGGGAGATTCAACCTGTAGAAAAATAAAATTCTGAGTCTAATTTTAAGCTTGAAGAGTTGTTTTGTTTTAATTTTTGAAAATAGCATCACAATTCTGTCCTTCATTCCTAAGGAGCTGGAATATGCAGTAGGATTAGGTGGCTTGGAATTTATGACTGTCAACTGCTCACCCAATGCAATATAAAATAGCTGCACTACCTGAAGTTTCAGGCCTGCGCAAAAACAAGGAAAAGGCAGAAGACGAGTGGTTTACTGAACTCAAGCAGACCAAATGGAGGGAAAAAACCTCACCAGACTCTATGTTCCTTTTGTCCAGACATATGCACACTCCAAATTAAACCTTAACCTAGATTTAATCCTTCCAAAATTACATGGTAGGTAAATGTGTCTATAGAAGTGACTAAGTAACGAATGAGAAACATGGTAAGTTGGAATGACATTGTGCTGGGTGTGTTCCCTGAGGGCTACTCTGATGCGGAGGTGCTGATTGGAGCATACGAGTCAAGGTTGCTGTGGTAATTTCTGGGTACACTCAGGCCCGCTGACAGGGGAGGGAGGGCAAAGGGAGCAACTGCTCCAGGGCCTAGTGATCCATCCGGGGCTCCAGATGCAGTAGCAGCGCCTGGAGCCCTGAGCCCTTTAAATCTCTGCACAGCTCGCTCTGGGTTGCTCTTATGGCTTGGCCAGGGGCCCAGCCTGAGTGTTGCCTCCCCTGGGTACAGTGCATCTTTAAAACGACTACATCTATATTCAAATAATACTTAGCACTGCCTCAGCTCCATCTCCAGCAAGAAGATTCTCTACATCAATAGTCTGTGACTGAGTCAGACCGCATTATATGAAAATGTGCTTTTCTCCATGTAGTCCAAGATCAAGGCGCGAGATTCAGTGCTTCTTCAGTTATCTTGTTCCTGGCCTCTATGCATATGGATCTGCCCAAGCCCTAATTCCCCCTGCACCATTTGTGGAAAAGTTTTGCTTTTACTATGCATTTACTCTGCCAGTATCTCTTTAAATCTAAAATGAAATCTTTAACCCAAAAAAACCCAGAAAAGGTTTAAAAGGTCACAATAAATAAATAGCACAGCAGTGCATAGCGATTTAAAAACTGCCGTCTTGAATCAGACTCAGTTTCCACTGCCACATAAAGGTAGCAACACAGCGAATCTGCTACCATGGAACCATTTGAATGGAGATTTTTGCCAATACCGGGTTCTGGAGGACTGCTGGTTTAGCGGTGAAATGGTGAGTGGGGCAGAGGGGGCTCTGTAGGTTTGATCTCTATTGGCAGCCTCCATTTTGGATTATCACCTGCATTTGTGTTATGTGCTGAATTCTTGTCCAACCTTGCCCGAAGCGAGGTTACGATGCTATGTGGCGGTCAGCTACTCTGGCCAGGAAAGGCGCTCAATGCGTTAGTGAAGGACAATCTCTAGAAAGCCCTCAAGACAATAACCTTGTGCCATTGGAGTCAGATTCTCTCTCATCTACCATCCTATTTCCATCAACAATCAACTCTCCACAGGAGTCTGGAGAGAGACAGGGTACAAGCAGGTCTACAGAACACCAGGCAAAAAGGGACAGAGAAGGGGTGCTTCTCGGGGGGGAGGGGAGGTATGTTCATTGCCATAATGAAGACCAAGGTGGAGAAACAGTAGGCCGAAGGACTCTGCCTAGCCTGAAATGATGGCAAGACCTGATTCATAGAAAGGGAGGGAGGCTGTGTTGTGGGACTTATGTGCAAAGATCTGTAACTCTCTAGTGGTTTGCTTTGGTTTTGAAACAGTGATGTGACTGTGGTTAATAAATTACTGTGCTAAGGCTGTGGCCCTGGCCTTCCTGTCATGGGGTTACACTGGAGCTATTCTGGGGGAGCTGTATGTAAATAACACATGTGCAGGCAGTAGTTCCAGGATCTGGGGCGGACAGACTGTAGCATCCTGAGAGTCAGGAAAGGCTCACACAAAAGATATGCACCCTAGAGGTCCAGAGCTATAACTAATTACTAGATTCACTTTGACCAACTGGACTTAGAACCCTGTGGGATCCAACCTTTGGATCCAGTTGCAAGAAGAGGACTGAGCCAGGCTGTAAAATGGATTACTAATTCAGAGCAGAGGTCCCTTACAAATAAGTAACAAAATCCCTTTCACAGTTTTAAAACGAGGCTGGGAGTGGCGGCATGGTACAATTGAGATTAGTAAAACAGACTGGAAATTGTCTTTCAGTGGATTTACATTTAGAGGAACATGTTTAGCTTTACTTCTTTTTCCAACTGATTTGTTTATATTAACTATCTTATGAAAATCCAATATAAAACAAGAAAGGAAAAATGGCACATCTGTCAGCTGTCAGACAGTATCTGTTCTGAAGAGCAATGAAAAGAACAGCTTCCTACTTCCTCTTTCTCCCATTTTTATTTTTAGTTTGGATTAGAATGGTCACTCATCAAAATACCCCTGCAGCAAAGGAATTTCAAAGCAACCTCTGTATGATGTTAGAGCAGTGCTGATGTTTCAAGTTTCATTAAAGTCAAGAAGAAAAGGCTTTCAAACATCTCCTACTTGTTTGTTTCAAAAGGAGCCTCTGCCAGTCTGGCAGGGAGGGAAAGGTTACTAGGGAGGTCAAACTAGATGATCACAGGTTTGTAGTTTACCCTAAGGCTCAGCTTAGTCCTCAATATAGTTTCCCTCTACGTAGGGGAAGCTGCAGTCATTTGCATCATAGAATAGACTTTCATGGAGTGTCTAGATTGGCACTGAAGGAAGCACTTAGTTCACACAGGATCCAGAACCCTACTAGCCCTATCCTCTGAAGTCCAGGTGCTCCAATTATTCCTGCAAAGCTCAGATTTCCAGTATTCTCATTTGTGCAACCCAAAAATATTTGCTCAAGTGTAACCCACACACCTAGTGGGTGTGGTTCATTGTCCCATGTACAGGCAGTCCCCGACTTACGAACGGGGCTTTTCTCGCCCCGGAGCTCACGGGCGACGGGTCGCCACCCATGTCCTCCGGGGCGAGAAAAGCTTCTCCTGGTCTCCCTGGTCTGCTGGAGGGTCCAGCAAAGCCGCTGGACCCCCCCAGCAGACCAGGGACACCCGAGCAAAGCCTCCCAGGCGGCGGGAGTCCCGCTGCCTGGGCGGCTTTGCTCGTTTGCCCCGGAGCAAAGCCGCCCAGGCTGCGGGGCTGAAATAAGCCCTTTTCCGGAGGATCTCTTATTCCTACAGCAAAGCTGGAAAAAAGCGGCAGCCATGTAAATGCAAATGCCGCGGGGGATATTTAAATCCCCCGTGGATTTGCAATTCCGAAGTGTCTAATCTGCATCCCTTTTCCGGAATGCAGCCTAACTGCTTTTGCCTACAATATTCCCTTCTTCAGATGCATAGATGCCAAAGAAATGCAAACTCCTTTTGCCCTGCTTGGAATGGAGTGCAATGTTCTTATTGCATATCAAGTGTATGTAATCGGATACATTTATGTTGCATACATATAAAGGGAGGCAAAAAAACCTGACCCCTTCAAAGGGAAAAAATACAATCTTTGGAACAGGAACAAAGAAGCAGATTTTACCTTAAGTAAAAAATTCTTAGAGATGGATAGAAAAAGAGATATTTACTTCACAATGGCACCAAATCAATCATTTTCTTTTAATGTGTCTGACATATCCCGCATTCACCCTTCTCTATTTCTAACAGACAAGTAACGGGGAAGTTTAGTAAATGATATCTTCTTCCTTAGTAAACACTCTGTAGAAGACTGCGCTGTCTTCTAGTCTTTCTCCTGGTAAGAGGCAGGAAGGGCCTGGCCTTTATTTTGGATATCGGAGGTGCAGCTATACTGACAACAACAGTAGAATTGCCTTTTGATTTCTAAACTGAAAAAATAGTGATCTTAGCTGAGGAAGAATCAATACTATTTAGAAGGCCTGATGGGAATTTTTGCAGTCGCTATCCTTATTATAATGCCATAATTATAATCATTATTATTAATTGTTTCGCTCTGAGCATTTTGTTCAGTGCTAAATACCAGCATAATAAAACATGGTATGTGCCCCCCAAAGAGCATGCAGCCTAAATCAGATACAAGCACAATACACAGGCAATGGGGCAAGCTGGACGCACTGGAAATGGCTGAGTTGAAAGGCTTTCTTTGGATGAAAAATATCCTTACAATATTGGCAATTTCCTTGGAAGCCTCGCTCTGTAAATACAGTGCCACATACAATAGAACCCTAGCCTATTCTGTCAAAGCTCTCTCAATGTATGGGAGGTAAAATGCCTCTATAGTCACTGCTCCTTGTCTGGGAAGGCACCTTCAGCCTTTTGAAAGATTGTTTTTTTGTATTGTAAACAACAGAACGAGCTGTGCTGTTGAACACATAGATTTTAATTAGATCTTCGGGTCTGCTGTGGTTCATGAACCATTTCAGAACCCTTTTCA